GAAAATTCCAACCAAGAGCAAATTCTAACAATTAAGTTTTTCTAACGGTTAGCTGCTGTAGGAGTATATATACATAGAGATGAGCAATTTTTGGTTGGAATTGGTATTTCACCAATAAACAAAACAATATTGAAAAAACTATTGTTGAAATTGTTAAAATCCAATCAAAATTAATTCTTAGGATGGATTTTAGTTATGATATCTACTGAAATTTTCTTAGGATTTTAAGGAAAGTTGCCAAATTGGAATTCTATTAGAATTTTCATTGAACATTTTATTATTGAAATATCATCACTTGTATGTGGTAGTATTAGTGAAGAAAATGTTGGACCAATGTCACAGCAAATTTTATTTGTTGTCACTCAAATCTCAAATGGTTATTACTATCTCCAGAGTCTGCTAAGCAAACTGCAGAAAGAAAAAGAAAAGTTTATCACAATAACTGCAAAGTTTTGGTGGAGAATGGACATTGTCTAATGTTTTCTAATGCTAAGGTAGCTAGACAGATATTCAATTTTGAGAAGTTGTATATTCATACTTGAATGGGCGGTTAAATTTATTTGATCATGAGAGAAGAGTTTTCCTTGTCTAATGAATTAATTGATTTGAGAATTTATAAGCGTTCTTAGCATTAGAAAACATTAGAAAATTTAAGCTGGGGTTGTCGGACTCCTAAGGTTTTCTGTAGCGGCTGTCTCGGTTTGATTCGATTTTCGGTTTGTTGGTCTGGGTTGAGTTAGCCATATGGAGAGTTTCTCAGCCTGGGGTTTTGGGTTGTCTACTGATCTGGTGGTGGCTCGCCTTTGTTTTGGAGGTTTTCGTCTAAGAAAGGATGTTGGCCTGGGGTTGTCTGAATTCGGTAAGTCTGGATCTGTGGTTTGGGTTGGTGTTCTGTCCGTGGATGGACTTCTCCGTGGTGTCGGTTTCGTTGGTATTGTTGTGGAGTGGCTCGTAAATTGTAGGGGAGAGTTTTATCCTAGTATTAGCTAGTTTTTTAGTGTTTGTATTTTGTTTGTTTTGTGTTTTGTTTAGTGTCGCTTGGGTATGTCTGTATTTTTTACTTATCTTTTGGAGTGTTATTCTCGCGTAGGAGAGTGTGTATTCTTCCATTGGAGAGTGTATATTCTCCATTATTGGAGTTTTTAGTTTTTTGTGTTTTTGTAGTTTGTGTTGTGTTTTAAACTACCTGTGGTGGTAGGTCTCCCTTCTTCGACTAGTTAACAGATTGCAGTTATGTATTTTTCTATAAAGTCTATCGTTTGAAAAAAAGAAAAAAGTACATATATTTTCCTTCCCACAACATAATTATCACCAAATGAGAAAATAAATTATATCACATGATTCTAATGATAATCACCAAATGAGACAATAAATTATATCACATGAAGTAATGATAACTAATCATTAGTTAATTTATCTAGTCTACTATCTAATCTTAATTAATATTTAATGTCGTTTTATCTCACATTAACTTCATTTATTATATATTTGTTTTGATATTTACTTTCTCTATTTTTCTTCCGTCAAAAAATTTCATGGAAATTGTAAAAAAAAAAAAATCATCCGATAGCTTTATAGAATTTCCGATTGAATATATACTTAGCGGATGACTATGTGATCAATATACACTTTATGTTGCAACTTATAAATTTTTATGAAGTTGGAGTTGTGTTTTATCGAGAAAGATACTAAGAGTTGCAAAACTTACAAGTACATATAATACAATACATTTTGCTGATTTTTTTTTAATCTTAATATGTTAATCTTATGCTACTACATACGAACAAATTAGAACTCGGGCCCACAAAACGTATAAAAGCGAGATTGTAATCTCTTAAATTTATGAAGTTATATACCTAACAATCCGTTCAAATGGTTAGAGCATACTTTGAATCTTCTAAGTCAAGTCAAAGTTTAGATGGTTGTGTATACAGTCAAAAGTATGCTTGACTTTCTTACAAGGCAACTGAAATTAACTTGCATGGCAGTTCATAATCATACTACATTAAATAATAATCTATCAAGCTAATTAAGCATCTTCGATCCGCTTTTACTTTTTTAGCATCAATGCTACATTTTTTATCAGTATAACGCTAAGCAATTAATACTGCTCTAATTTTGAAAGGAATTATTAAGAACTTTCTGGGCCCGAATAAGGACTTTGGAATCCTAGACCAACTAAATAAAATTAGTAGAATATTGGAGCTCTTATCTGAACGAGCATTTTCGCTAACACACAAATCATGTTCGTTAAACGAGCTGAACTGAACTCGATTCGAGTCTTTGGCTCGTTTAATTTACTAAACAAGCTCGTGATCGATCTCAACTTGGCAAGAATAACACCTTTATTACAGCCCTACTATACAAGATACAATTATAATTTTTAGTTTTTTGTTTGCACTCTGATGTATTCATGACGACAATATTAAACTTTAAAAACAGCATAGCATCAATATATTTTTTTCTATTAATTGCATATCACAGAGAAATAGAGACTAGATGTGACAACATATTGTGGCAAAAATATTTTTTTAATATAGAAATTTGTTATCGAAACAAAATTAAAATTTCCAGTAACCAACTCTAGTAAAATGTGTGCACAAATTCCATGTTTATTTATTTTTTCATTTCTTTTTTCTGCTGATCAGTGTATATATGTGCATGTTTGTATGTCATAATGCGAGTTTATTTATTTTTACTTTTCGAAAGCAGTGTTGATTCTCAAAGTTGAGTACATGTCCATACTTCAATCGAATTGGGTACTATATGTATGGCTACCATCCAACATTTTATATTTCTGGTTTTGTTGTCCCTGTCATTTTTTTCAAATTGAATTTTGTCTGTTTATGCGCTAGGCAATATAAAGAGTCACGAAAGATTGTTATTTTCTTTTTCTTTACTTTATTTTCCACACTGAATGTCAAGAAAATTGTAATTGATCATTTGATTCCACCCGCCTAATTATAATGCATATTATACATGCAAACAAATGGAAAAAAGTGCAATTTTACAACACATAAGATAGCTCGGGTGAACCGGCCACGGTCTCGATGTGTAGACTAAAGAGTAAAGACTAGCTAGCTAGACTGGTTGGTCTAAGAGTATGAGGGTTCATGTAGCTCGGATAGCTACACGTCTCTAGCTCAGACACTATGGATCTCAAACAACTTAGGTAGAGCTCAGACAATTTAGGAATGGCTATAGCTCAGATATTGAGGAGCTCGGACAATTTAGGAATGGTCATTAGTCATATTTTATTCACATCATTTAATTCACAATTCCGATAGCAATAAGAAGAGATGGATAAATCAAAACAGTCAAATCGGTCCACGTGCATTTATACCACACCTCACGGGCAAACAATCAATTTTAGTCCATTTACTTGTCTAAAGTCCTTTTTTGGTACACTAACTTTTCCCTCATCAATAATAGTATGTTACGTTACAATTTGTATCACTATTGAGACAATATCCCGAAAATGGTTCATTATCTTTGGGGATTAATGTTCTAAAAATGATACAAATTGCAACATAACGTACTATTTTTTATGAGTAATGTTCCAAAAATGATACAAATTGCAATATAACTTACTATTTTTTATAAGGAGTAAATTAGTGTACCAAAAATAGACTTTAGACAAGTAAACGTATCAAAAATGATACAAACAAGCCTCTTTACCACGATATGTAACCACATACCCACTCAAACGCACATTCTACCAAAATTTCACAGAATCATGAATTTCACAAAAAATTATAACAAACCAAATTCTGCAGATATAAACAACCATTAAACGAATGCACAAATTTCGACCACACACCAAGACCACAAAAAATCAAATCAAATTGCACTTTTCGATTGCTTGCAAAACACCAAAATTCAAACCACTTGCCCACCAACAAAAATTCAAAAATGATTTGCCCCCAACACCAAGCTCATTAATTTAAATTCAATCAACCTCTTTGAGTTCACCAATAAAAAATGATAAATGCACCAAATGAACCTACAATTCACATTTATTATCAACCTAACCCGTTTAATTGGTGCTTTGTAAAATATAGGCCACCTCTCCAAATGCACCAAATAAAACAATTAATTTTCCAACGAACGAACCAAATAATTTTTTCCTTTTAAACCAATTTTTTAAAAAATCATTCGGTATCAAAATTTAAATTAACCGCATACCTTCATCATGAGAATGTTATCTCAAATTACCTCACCGTCCGTGTCCTATCACCCTGGACTCGTCGTGGGCTCACCGTGGCTCCTGGACCTTTGTTGGACCATCTGAACTCAAGCTGGACCACCTGGGCTCGAGCTGGAGGACGTTTGGACGCAAAATGAGCCACATATGGGCTGTTGGGCCGCGTTTTTGGGCCTGATGGCAAGGGTAAGGGGCGCAGGCTGAGAAGCGATCTCACCCGGGCCTGGTACAGTGAGAGACGCGGACTGGGCGCGATTGAGGCCGGGCTGGACGCGGGCTAGGCGTGGGTTAAGGTCGGGCTGGGCGCGGGTCGAAGCCGGGCAGGATGGGGTTGACACCTATGAGAGTCACGGGCTTCGCGGGCCGAATTCAGCCCACGCGCTAGGCTGTTGAGCTGAAGGGCCTCCTCGCTAGGCTTCATTGTTGGGCCATGTTGAGCTACTTCTAGGTTGCGCGCGTATGGGCCTTGCAGACACTCTCCTGGGCTGCTCGCACTCAGGCCGCGTTGGAGGGATGATGGACACGGGTTGGGCTATGTGGATCACCACCTAGAGAGCTAAGTCGCGGACATTGCTGCAGCTTGCCGAAAATACGCCGCCTGAAAAATATCGTCGGTTTCAACGACGGTAACCTGCCGAGGGTGCGCCTCAATGAGGGGGTGTCGATGGCATCCTTGGTTTGAGGTAGTTCGCCGAAAATCATCAGAAAATTCGAGAAGATTATTGGAGTTGACCAAAATTTCATAGATCCAAAAACTTTAACCGGCAAAATTGACGACCTTCCCGGTAGAATTTTTGCTTGAAATTTTAGGAGGATGACGAGCGCAAGAGGCGGTTCGTGATGATATAATAAATTTTCTGAACGAACGACTTTGGCCGGCGGCAGCAAACGGTGAAGGTGATGCATTGTAGACTCGTCTCGACAAGAGGATTCCTGTGGTACCCTCGGATTTTTGATAACCCTCACGGATCGCCGGAAAAATGGATTTGAAGGTTGGATGTTGATCGGAATTTCTTGGTCTTCTAAGTGGAATTTTCGCATGAAATTTTATGGGGAGAATCACCTCGATGAGATCTACCCGGTGATGTAAGAAATTTTCCGATCGGAGCACTTTGGCTGGCGACTGGTGGAGATGAAGGAGATTGCTAGAAGTTTTTTGGTCGGAACTCCGTTTGCCACGGTCGATTTTTGGCGTTTTGAACAGGTCTCACATACGGCGCCAATGTTGGTGATTGGACTTCACCATGACTCCTTCACCTCGGACGACCTCAGTACCTGCAAGAACTCAACGCCAAGAGAGGTCCCGACGTCGAGCCTCCGATACCTAAGTCAGTACTCTCCAGAGATAAAGAGTACGATATGAGAGTGTAGTCATGAATGTAGAGAGAATGAGTTGTTGAGATACCTTTAGCCCCTTTTATAGGGGAAGTGTACCTTTGTGCCAAGTTGGGCTTAGCCAATACCACTATGTCATGTGTCCTAACCCATGTGTAGGCTAATTCTCCAATATATTTCACCAACACCCTTCTTGGCTTATATTCTTTAATTTTATGCAAAATGAATTTGATAATCGCCAAAGAACATAAGAAAGTATTAAAAATATAAAAATAAAATAAAATTACAAAAATAATAAATAATGACAATGTAGACCAATAAAATATAAAAATAAATGTAAATGAGCCCGGTTCAATGCAATAAGAACATGAAAAATAACAACAAAATCTAACAATCACATATAACTTGTTCTTGCACATAGTAATCTTGCACTTGCAAATGATAATGAGTCTATCCATCATATTTGAATTTATTGCATAACTATGATTTTATCTTATATTCTGATTATGCTATCCATTACTTGTTCTCCTTTGAACCAACAACATATACATATGTATTAAGCTATAATATAACAAAAGGAATATCTCCCAAAAATTCATCAATTGATTTATTGATTTCGTAAAAAGCAAATCCACACACAACTTCACTTTTCAAGTTAAACCTGAAAAGATCAAAACTTTCCACCACCCATGAAAATGAAACAATTTTTCAAGGATAATT